TGTGGTGCTGGAGAAGAGTGTTGAGGATCCCGTGGAAAGCCAAAAAGACAAACAAATGGGTCCTAGAGCAGATCAAGCAGGAAAGCTCCCTGGAAGCCAAGATGATCAAACTGAGGCTGTCGTACTTCGGACACATCATAAGAAGAGAAGACTCATTGAAAAGACAATAATGCTGGGAAAGGTGGAGGGAAGTAGGAAGAGAGGAAGACCACATGCCAGATGGATGGACTCTATTAAGGAGGTCATGGGCATGGGTTTGCAGGATTTAAGCATAGCAGTGGAGGACAGGGGGTCTTCGAGATGTCTCATCCATAGGGTTGCCATGGGCTGAGATTGACACGAGGGCAGTTAACAACAAAAGTTTTGCTAATGTCCACTGCATATAACATACTGATAAACGATATAACATACTGATAAATGATATTCTTCCAGCACTCAAACACCATAAGTAATTATATGTAAGTTCTGTTGTCAGGTTTCCTTCAAGTAACTGTTGCCTTTTGTGATTCCTTAAGTATGGACCAACCCTTGTGCTCCCAAAGGCTTACACTTACAGACTATCTCTGGTTCTCCACAACGGTAAGACTTAGAACCTTATCACATTACAAGATGCAGAGATAGAGCAGTGGCTGCTTACCTTTAGGCACATCTATTCCTGGAGATGGTCATAAAAGCATGCCTTTTGTCACACTGGAAAAATCCATTTGGCAAAATGCATACTTTTACTACCACCCCCCTCTGGAAGATGAATGGAAGTGCTTTGAGGACATGCAAAGAGGTAAGAGGAAAGCTGCTTCTCTATTGCTGTGTCTTGGTTTACATTTGTAATGTGATAAGGCTTTTAGATTCTAAATCTGAATTTTAGAAAACTAAGGAACTAAAAAGGGAAACATTGCATTTCATCCAGGTAAATTCTAGGAGAACTAATGGCTCAAATTTTAATGGGCTCATGGGGCCACTAGAAGTCACACAATTATGATTTTGATAATTTGCCCTTACTAAGGCAAATGCTAGAAAGATGGTTCTTATCTAAATAAACCTATGGAAAAGGAATATGGTATAGCCTCTTTTTTATACTACTCAGTTACAGCACTATGATTCCTCTTTAACTGATGTGATTCCATCCTAAGAGATGCTGGGATTTGCAGTTTAAGGAAGAGTGTTTATAATTCTCATCTAGAGAGTTCTAGTTCCTTTCCACACTACAAACACCAACCAGTATTTCTATGGGATGTAACCATGGCAGTTAAATCAGAATCATACTGCTCTAACTGTTTAGTGTTAGGAGCTTATTGCATTGAAAATAAAGTGACTTACCCCTGCTGAAGTACAGTTGTTTACAGGATGCAACCAGAAATTATCGCAGTAAAAATGCTGCTGATGCTGTTGGGTGACTGCATCCCAGCTACATCCCAACTTCTAGCCGTGCTCAACTGGCTAATTTGCAAACATGGGAAGCTCCTGTTTTTGAAAACTGGCAGGCTAAGAGCAGCTGGGAGCTGGGATGCAGTTGCCCGGTGGCAGTGGTGGCATTTTTACTGCAATAATTCCCAGTTGCATCCCATAAGCTACTGTAATTCGACAGGGGTAAGTTGCTTTATTTTTCAATGCGATAATTCCCTTAAAGGGTCCATAGTGTATTAATTTAATTTATTAAATGAATTTACATCCCATATTTCTCCCAAGATGGGATTCAAGGCAGCTTATAATGATTTCATATAAGATCAAGCTACATTGTTATGTTATGCAATGTTATGTTAACCGTTGCTTAACAGACTCCCTATAGGAACTGACACAACTGGTCTCAGAGTTGCTGTTGGAGTCAGCCAGACTTTTAGTGCTGGGTGACTTCAACATCTCACTCGAGACCAGTTTAACAGGTGCAACTCGGCAGGTCATGAATTCCATGACAAACATGGGCCTATCCCAATTGGTTTCTGGGCCAACATATTCTGCGGGTTATACCCTCAATGTGGTCTTTAGTACAGAACAGGCATATCCGTGGGTGGAGGTAATAAATACCACTGCACTGTCATGGACGGATCATTTTCTGGTCAAGGTTGGACTAAGACCCACAGTCCACCCCACCGAGGGTGGAGGATCTATTAGAATGGTACACTCTCGGAGGCTAATGGAAGGGTTCCTTGAAGCGTTCCTTGGTTGGCAATGCCGACGATTCTGTCGAAGCCCTGGTTAATACCTGGAACATCGATCTTACCAGGGCTATTGACACGATCACTTCCAAGAGTCCTTTCCAACCCGCTCCAAATTGTCAACCCTGGTTCACAGATGAACTTAGAAAGATGAAGCGGATTGGAGAACAACTAGAGCGCACCTGGTGGAAAACTCAACTCTTACCTGACAAGACTTGTCATAGGAAATTTCCTATCGAGAGGCAATACGTGTAGCGAGGAAATCTTTCTCCTCTGCGCATATTGTGTCTGTGGAATCCCATCCAACAGAACTGTTTAGGGTGATAAGGGAGCTGACAAAGGTTCCTCCTGTGCAGAACCCTTTACTTAACCCAACAACAGCCTGTTGT